GCCGAGGTAGCGAAGGGCTCTTCCCCTTCACTCCAGCCCCTCAAGCACTGGTAAATCATCACGTAGGTGTTTTTAAATGCCTCGCCTGCAGCACTGTTAGCGGATAGTGGGCACCGTGCGGTAGGCGTGGACTTTCACCCTCAGGAGAACCGTTTCGAACGGAAATGTTTTCTCTCCTCTTGGCCCCTAGCTTGTAAATCGTAATTCTTCTGGAACAAGGCCTGGAAGTCGGCTGTGCTGGGCCGGTGGGGGCTGCGTGCCTCCTTCCCAGCAGGGAAGCCTGCAAACGGCTTTTCGAGGACGAGGTAAAAAGGAGTTAATGGCGTCGGTCAGTTGTTTGCTGGCTGGTAGCGGTGACGTTAGTTTCAACCTTCCTGGGTTTTGTTTGTTTTGCTAGAAACTAATTGAGTTATTCTGCTGCTGCCCTTCCTTGTAACCATAAGCAAGGCACGCAATCCAGTTTGCTTCAGTTTTCCTCTCTGAGGAAAGGGATGTAATTTCTTTTCTCAGTTTTAAAACAGCCTCAGATGAAAATGGTGACACATGTGCCAAGCAGTGTTTGTTATTTTACCTTTCTCTTCTGCTGCCTTTCCCCCACTATTTTTATCAATTGTGTAGTTCTTACTCTCTGTTCAGTAGGTTGGAAAGAATTCTAACCATTTTGATTATAGTTCTTTGAAGGTTCACTTTGTACGCTCTTCTGATGAAGTAAGGAACCTAGTAGGTTTTCTATAGAGAGTGAAAGGCTCGGTTTGGTTAGGAATTCAGAAGTTTCTACTGATGCCAGGCTACTATCGTGTTACCAGCAGAAGTCGGTTGAAATCATGCCCTACAATGACTCCACAGAAAAGCCACCGTCATACAGGTAAAGAACAGAAGTGTAAAACCCCAATTAAGTCTTCGTGACTATAGGTATGAAGTTGTAAGATTTGCACTGAGAGCTAGACACTCCTGAATTCTTGGTCACAGCACTAACAACTTGTAATAGACTGTCTCCTTTCCAGATATAAATTGAGTTTAATGAGCTGCTGCCTGTTAACATACAGATTAACAGGCTAATATTTGCAATGGCATGCATATTGTATGGCTTTTCTTTTAAAAAGAAATCGTGTGTCTTTTTTGTTCAACACAATCTAGATATAAGTCCAGTGTGATATATATTTTTGAACTATATTTTAAACTTTGTTAATGGGTTACATAACGATTATATAATGAGGAAGAAAAGAAACTAGTGTGTCCATCCTTTTCACCCTAACCGTTCTGCTGAATAATGACACCCTTACCCTCACTTCCGCAAGGAGAAACACAGTGCCCCAGCCAATGGGAAGAGTGGTGGGCGGATAAAGACTATTTCCACGTTTCTTGGTAGTTCTTACTTAACAGTTCATAGATTTTTTTTTTACCTTTTAGAGATAGTATGTATGTCTTTGTAATTTACATGTATAAAATCTAGCATATATTGCTTTTATGCCATCATAGCAGATTTGAGGTTGTGATCAACCCAGGCTAGATAATTACTCAGTTCGATTCATCTTAGAAGAAGCAACATTGAATCTTTGAATCATATTCTTTGAAGTTAGAATGATGCTTATGTTCATGTGAATGTTACATTTTGCCAATTAAATTGAATGTTATACCCATTGCAAGTCCCTCCTCCTATGTATTTAGTGCAAGTCAAAGGTTTATTCTCTTTCTGTTTCAGAGAAGCTACACCATTTCAAAAGGCTTGGAAAAGCGTAGATGTAAATGCAGCTGAGGAAGTCAGAGGTCTACCTGATTTTGTTGGTAAAATTTATATCCCTTAATGTTAGATATTTTAATTTGCATTCTTAGGAGCCTCCATACATATAATGGTTTTAGCTGAACAAGGTATAAAATCAAGCACAGAAATGTCCTGACACATTTTTGACGATTTGTCGTTAATTTTGAAGATGAAGAGTCTACTTATAGAAAAAATGGTTGCAAAATTGTTGAACAATCAGTTTGTGTTTAGATGGTAAATTCCAGTTATGACGTAAGCAGATCTCATTCTTGGGAGTTGCACTTTGTGTCATAACTGAATTTAGTTCATAGCTTCCATGCTTTTATCCTTCTGAAAATCACAAATTAATAAAATCAAAGGAAATTTTAAAATGTGCTTTACTATTTTTCACCTACATTTGCATAGATTTTCCTTCCTGTGGAAAGCTGTCACACACTGTAATAGCTGTACAAACTACAGAGGTCAGAGCATGTATTTAGTGATTCATTGTGCGTGCGTTACGTATTTTGCAGCAACAGTTCTAAGCTACTTCATCCTCGTTTCCTTCTTGGCAGTTCCTGAGGAAACGAGCAGTAATATCTTGGAATGCCTGTCAGAACGCCGGCAATGCCGTCATGATGAAGCACTGACCTCAATGTATCGTGAGCTCACCTGCGTTGCCAGGGTAAGACTGGATTTTGTAATCCGTGTAGTCTAGAGTACCACACTAAGGTCAGGGCCTAATATTCAAAAAATCAGACTGACTTCTTTACCTTTTCAGGAGATGGAACCCTTTGTTTTGGAGCCTGGAAAATTTCTTCTGACAAAACTGATGGAATCTGATAGAAAAATTGAACTTCTCTTTAAAAAGATTGAGTCAGACACTGCTCTGGAAGGTTTCTCATTTGAAGTAAGGCAGCTCATGCCATTGTCTCGTCTTCAGTTATTTGTACCTGGTCTGTGTGACGTAGCTTTTTACATCTTGCTGTAGTTTTAAGATATAAGTGGGGGGTTTTTTGCCTTTTTTTATATTTACTTTTCAATGAGATTGAGAGTAAATCTTTCTTGCAGGGTTTAGAAGAACTGTGGAACATCATTCATCAGGAATCCTTGACCAGAAGGAAGTGGATTAGGGAAATGGATGAATCCCTAAAAAAAGTTGAAAGGAGTCGAGCTGATAAAGTGAGCTGTAGTCTCAATAGCTGTTAATTAAGCATAAGATTATTATTTGCTCACAATGCTGGATGCAGAGCAGGGTAGCTTGTTTCCACAGGAGTCAAAGAGGTCTGCCAGGCATTCTGTTGTGTAGGTGACTACTGTGTTCTCACCGATAGATCATTCTCTCATTTAATACTCACATAATCAGGAGAAAATACTTCTTTTCCAGTTACAAGGTGTTTGTTTCTACCACAATTACCTGTACTAAAGATGCAAGGAATATGTGAGCGGCTTTTATTTTTCTGCAGGCTCATTTAGGTCAAGCTGTCATCAGGTCTAATGTTATTTTGTTGGGACATACCTGTTCTGCAGCTGACAGCATCCACAGATGTCCCCCAGCTAATTTTAGAGTAGGCAGGGTATCAGTAGCAGAGATGCTACAGTTATGTAGGCTTCAGCCTGGCCTGTAAAAGTCTCTGGGCATCACAGTAAATGTTTGGATGAATAAACGGACAGTCCATAAGGAAGTCCTTGCTGCTGCTTTGTCCTTGTAGGCAAACAAAAGCTGTCTGTTATCCCTCTGTCAGTTTGTGCTCCCTTTGTGATGTAGACATGGTGAATAGGTCCGACAGTATCACCAGTAGCTTTTCTGTTTGACTAGTTATGAAAAATACCGGAGATGACCATGTTTGCTTAAATTTTGTGTCCGCTTAAAACAACCACTGATGAATTCACTACAGATATCTGAAAGGAAGTTGGCTTTTAAATTCAGATTGCAGCCTATCTGCAGAGTACTCAATTATCACAGATATTTTAACAAGAAATTAGTTGAGCGGTAACAAAATTAAATGTTTTAGGTACTGTTTTTATGAATGATTTAAAAAAATCAGTATTTAAGATATTTTAAATAGGTATTTTAAGATTCACTTCTCAATCTGTCAGCCAATTGAATTTATTTGAATGAACAAGACAATTTTTTCCGTATCATTGCTTAACTTGGGAAACTGACATTTGAGTTACATAGTTCTGTTTTGGATTTTTATTCTTTATTCTTTTATTGCGCAGATAACAAATGTACTGAAGAAGTATACTGTGGTACTAGAGGAAATTTCCTTCTTCTTGTCAGCTGATGTTTACAGGCTCATGAATGATGAGGCCATGGTAAATCTTTCATATTGAGAGTCTGGTTTACCTGTGAAAAGATAGCAATCTGAATATTCCCCCAATGTCTTTTTTTCCGACTGAAATTCATTATTTTTCCCTATCAATCACTGCAATATAGGGGGGGGTTCAATTTTGCAAGATACTCTTTATAATTTGTATTCTTTGTCACTTGTTTTAGATAGAACAGGCAATTATTTTTTTTTTATGTTATATGCTGCTTCTATTCCTATTCTTACTTTTTAATACACAGATGATTAACAGAGCACTGTTGGCCAATCAGAGGGCAATTGCCAAGCTGTTCTTTAATCTAATGAAATCGCAGATGAAGAGGGAATTATCACATCGATTGAAATGGCAAGATAGAGTCAAGGACTGGAAGCTCATCCAAAAGAACTATGTAGTTCACCGTTTCAGGTCAGAAATTTTACAGTTATATTTTGGAGTACAAATAACACGAAGTGACTAGTGTTCACTTGTGTTTTCTATAATCAGTAATATTTTATCATTTTTTTCATTCTAAAACTAAAAAGCTAAAAGAATGTAGCAGTTTTGGTTTTTTTTTTAACCAGGTTTGTATGAAACGTATTTTGTATTTGTATTTCAAACATGAAATTTTCCCAAACTGATATTTACTTCAATGTATTCTCCCATCCTACAGAGAATTTATGGCAAATGAAGAAATACAGACTCCCCCAACTGTGAAAACAGAAATGGAAAATATGATAACGGATCAGATTTTATTTAGTGAAAGGAGACTGGCGTTTTTGCAGCACCTTGGGTATGACAAAAGAGTGAACAGGAGCAAAGGGAAACACAGTTCTTTCTAGCTAGAGTTACGAGGGACTTGACTACAAAATGCACTTTGCTCCCTTTCAGTGTGCGATTGTACAATGTGGCAGTAAGGCAGGGCCTAAACTTCTTTTGTAAAGCTCTTTTTAATGGAAAAAATGCATTCTTGATTTTCAGTGCACCCATTACTCTAAGTAGGGGGTGATCGAGGGCTAGAAATACAGGAACACAAAAGTAAATCTTACTAATATTTGAAACATGTTAGAAAAGGGCAGACAAGGATGGGTGGATAAGTAAAAATTGGTGATCTTGTCAAGGCATTATTTCTGTGTGGAACTTTAATCTGTATAATAAATCAAGAAAGGAGTCTTGATAGAAATCTAACACTGCTATGTTTGAATGTCCATCCTGACAACAGGAAGATCGTTTGGGTGCAAGACATTGCAATATTCACAGTTTAACAATATATGTAGCAACAAGATAGATTGCGGTTAGTTCCTTGTCAGTAAACAGTGGCCTTGAAAAACAGCAGTCATCTTGGTTTATTTTCATTGCTGTAAATAAAATAAAGCACAGTAGTATGGTTACTCTGATTCATAACTTTAAGAACTGACTGGATTATATTTAAAGATGTCTGACTCTTGTTTCCTATTTTGATAGTGATTTGTTGCCTCCAATACACAAGAAAGCTGACATAAATGAATGGTACGGATCTTTGGTGAATTTAAACAAAAGTATAGGTAAGTCAGGAGATCATAAAAAATAATCTGGAATTCAAGCAATTCTTTCTTTTTTCCATGCAGTAATGAGTCATGAAAGTGTATGTCTGCTATATTCCGTGTATTTCCGTGTACCTTCCAAGTAACTTTGAGCTAGCAATATGACCAAAATAAGCTGACTAGTTCATCATCTCCCTTTTGCCAGCACAAGCATTTTTGCATGGTGAGATCTAGCAGGAATTGACCTGGTTAGAATTCATCTGGGGAAAATAACAGGTTAATTTTAATGCAGATCAGTTCTCAATCGTACAATACTACTCATTTTTACCTCTTGGAGAATGAGAGGGGAAGTATTTAAGATGCTTCCTTTCTCCAAGTCTTGTGTTGTGCCTTCTCTCTGTGTGTCTACCTTCTCTTTCTCCAGACCACATCCTGTCTTAACGGTTGTAACCTGTATAGTAGCAAAGAAGTTGTTAGCGATTGTAAACAACTCACTACTTTTAAGCATAATGATAAAAAGAATTGTATTAAAAAATCTTACTTTACTGGTTGGCACGTGTGAAGACTAGGATGTATTACCGGTGTTGAGACTCTGCACAGGTCCTCTGTCATGTTTCCGTTTCACACTGCACCGTGAAATACAGAAATCTTTACAATGGCCTCTTGTTCCTTATCCTTCAGATACCCACAATGTGCAGTGTATGATGAAAATTCGCATCCAGTATGAGACGGTCCAGCAAAAATGTTTGGCAGAAATGCAGTTATGCAAGGTTAGTATCATAGCTTTGTGAATTCTTGGAATGATTGTTTGTAACGGTATACAATCTGTTGTTACAGTAGTATGGGTTTGAGGATACACCAAACATTGAGATAAAAAGTGAAATTACTTTTTAACCTTTGTCTTTTAATCTTTGTCTGCTAGAAAACTTACTATCCTTTTTGCTTCACAGTAGCATGTGGTATTTCTACTTGAAATGTGTAAAAGCAGTAAGAAATGCCAGTAATGGAAGGAGTGCTGTCCCACATTTAGGTGGAGGACTCAGGGTGAGAACTCTCAGCCTTTGTGCTGAATCTGTCTTACCTTGGGAGAGAAATTCCACCTCTCTGCCTCAGTTTCTCCCTTTGTGTCCAAATAGAATTGTACTAACAGAATGTTTCTCTATCCATTCACCAGAAAAGAAAAACCACTAAGTTCAGCTATACTCTCTAAAAGCCACACAGTATTTTATGTTATATTATGTTCATGTCAATAACTTAGCATTCCTTTCATTTAGAATAACCTGTTGAATCTGAATGTTTGCACAAAAAAAGAGGCTGAAGAAATTGTGAATTCTGAGTTACTTCAGTTGACTGAGAAACTACAAAGTCAGTTTGCAGAAGAACTGGAGAATATGGATGTACGTTTATTACATCTATTTTTATTATTCTCTGGGAGTAGTCTGCTCTTCCTGCCCTACTGCCTGAAATGCCATATGCATCTTGGGCTGTTGTGTCATGTTAGAAAGAGGTCCATAGTGTGTCTGAACACCTGCCCCATAAAGAAAAAAAGTTTGGTGTGATTCAAGGAGACCAGTTCATAATTATTTGGTTTATATTTATAATAGGTTGTCAGGGATGAGTTAGGTATAGCTCATCCTGCCTGGAGGCAGAGGGATAGATTCAAATGCTCTTCCAAATTTCTTTCAATCTTATCTTTTATGATTCTATACAGGGAAATGACTGGGCAGTTGTTCCTAAAATGATAGTTGGCCAGATACTTCAGGGCATATGCAGAACTCAGTAATTCTGTGCTTTGCGGTACCAGAAGAATAAACAGTTTTGATATCTTCAGCTTCCAGAACAAAAATCCGCATTCTCGTCCAGCGTACTTGCACTACTTTTTCCTCTCCAAGTAGAAGAGACTATGTTGAATACTGATAATGTACTTCCAGACAGCCTTTTATCATGTCATATATCCCCTTACTCATGTATTTCACCTTCCAGCAAACAGTTTAATACTAACCAATTCACGTCAATGTATTTCCTTAGAGAGACTTTGAGGAGCTGGCTAAACGGAATGAGTGGAATTGTAGAGACTTGTACAGCTATTTTCAGGAGGCCATGGGTCTCTGGGATGTTCATCAACTCAAACTGTCCCAACAGGAATGTGAACTTCAGAAGAGATTAGATGGATGCAGGTGGAAACAGGATAACTTAATACAGGTATAAACATAAAAATAAGGATGTGGTATGATGTAAAGAAAGGACTTCTTCATGCAGAGAATCCTCTGGAATTCAAAATACCTGGTATAAAATTTCAAACGTAATCTTTGACATTTGTACTGGAATTTCCTCAGGGTAATTTCATCCTGTCAGGTACATTTCTGCTAACAGCTTGATTCACACTTAATGGGCATTCATACCTTATTCTTGATATGACAATGGTGATAAAGATTATATTTTCTGTATTAGGTGGCTGCAAGTTGCTATTAGTCATAAGATCTTGTGCAGGTATAGAGTCTTGTTTGTACGTCAAGTTCTCATGAGTGTATCAGGCAACTTGGGGTGGCAACATCAAAGATGTTCATTATCTATGAAAGATCTTCATAATAGACAGTTTTGGTAAGGCAGCTTCCCTTCTTGGTGCAGAACATATGTACATAATTAAATTATTTGAATCCTAAATAGAAAGCATTTTAGTAATTAATAAATCATTTTTACTGGATTCTTTTTTATGTGGCCTTAGATGATGGAAGCTAATCTGGATATAATTTTGGATAAAATGAGAACAGCGAGCTCTGAAGAAATGTTGAAGAAACATTGGGAGAATGCCCTTTCTTCTTTAGATGACATTAGAGCTAGGTATGAATTCTGTAGTGCAAACTTAAAAAGCAAAGCATATTTGAATGTTGATTGTACTTTATGCTGTAGTGTGAAGGTGTGGAAAAACACTGCTTACTACTCCATGTAAGAATGTAAAAGAAAATGATTTCTGTATTGAACAAGGTTAAGGCAAATAATACCCACGTTTTAGAAGTAGGACTATGGAAGACCAACAAATACTGGTATCACTTAAAAAACATAGGAGCTCAGCAATATTATGTACTATACCATGTCATCCCTGCCAATGGGATAATTATTTATTCAGAAGGTAAAAGTAATAGTTCAGATTCTTGAATTGCAGGGATCAGAAAGCAGGTTTGTGCCGTCACCTGTGCTCTGGGCTCACAGATTTGATCTCTTTCAAGGTCACAAGGACTAGAAGTTATTATATAACTTTCAGATAGCCAAAGTATATATTTTGGTAATCTTTCTATTGTGTTTCTCATGATCATGAGAACTTCTGTGCATTTATGTATTTGTAATGAACTAATCTCTACTAACAAGCCAGGATGTGATTATATTCAGGCTAAAGAGATACAGTACAACATTTAGCCTAAAGGTTTTATGAGATTGGTCAAAAAGTTAGATTTTGATTTAAAGACATGGTAGTCATTTTTAATTTTATTTCTATATATATTGAGTCTTAAACGGTGACCTTAAATTTGACAGGTATGAGACATTCAACCAAGTTCTAATGGATAAAGTAATGACTTACCCAGAAGCTATTTTGCAGGAATTGATTTCTTATAGTATATCCATCAGCCAATATTTTAATGTAAAGGAAATCTTCAAACAGGTATAAAGAAAACAAACTACTTCTGGTTTAAAATACTACTTTTTTATTAATTTTTCATTTTTGGAAAAAATTACATTAGCTTTAAAATTTAGATTACATAAGCTAAAGCATTGCTCTGGCCATGGGACTGAAGTGCTTTTGATAGAAATAAAGGGGGGGAAACACAAAACCTTTCTCTGTCCCACACTTTTAACTCTGTCCTTGTTACAAACTGTATTTTAGCAAATTCACTTGCCTTTTAAATAGAAAACTGTAAGGTAACAAAATTATATTAGTCAATTTGAGTGTTATAGCTTCTTTAGAAGACAAATGATCCATTCAAGACTATCATATCTTATTGATATAGAGTTTGAGAAGGAATATGAATTTCTAATAAGCAAGCAAATCCATATTTTTAAATGGGGGGGGGTGTGTTGTTCTTTTGCTTTTAGAACTTACAAGGAAATACAGACTTCACATTTCAAGATCAAGGTAATACCTCAATGGTACAAACAGGTATTTTTACTTGCTTGTTTTTTAATCTGTATTTCTTTGGATTGTGACCAGTAAAACTCTGCTTTAACTGGAAAAAAATAGTTAAGTTTTCAGAAGCTGAACACCTGATGGAGCAGCAAGCTGAGAGCATTGTGCAAGAAAATGAAGGCGAGGAAAAGACAGATAGTTGTCAGAGAGAAACTGAAGAAACAAACACAGCTGAGAATGAGATCTTTGCACAGGAAAGTGAAGAAACAGAGGGAAAAGAAGATAGGGAGAGTATTCCTCATGAAAGTGAAGAAACTGAGCATGCAGAACAGGGGGTAAGCTTTATGCAGGTGAGTGAACAAGAGAATAAATTTGAAGGGGAAGGAAATCTTGCAGAAAATAATGATGAATAGGAAATCTTCTTTTTGCTGAGGTAAGTCTAAATTCCTTAAAGTAGATTAGATTTAGTTTGTACACAAAGCATGCAGGAGTCTTTACGGTTTGAATTTATTTCTGGACTGTCAGGGCTTTAGATTCTTTTTATGGGCAAATGGAGTGTATAAAAGAGTTTACAACCATTCCTTGTGCCCTGCTTTTACCCTTGTAAAAACCTCTTGCATAGAATTTTTTTTTTTTAATATCTTTCTTTCATCATAGTATTCTTAACGCATGCAAATTATTTAAGCTGTATTTGTATCTACGTATTAGTTTTTCAGGTGAATTTATTACCAAAACAAAAACCCTTTAAAACATTGATGACTCTGCCTATCGAGACTTGCAACCATATTCTCTGTAGGAATGTTGTCCAAATTGAGAACAAGAACATTATTTTTGATATCCTTAGGATTCTTACACTAGCTTGTGCTTGTTGATTCTATGCTTTTACCTTTAAAGGTAACAGATGATGATTTCCAGTTGTTTTCTAGGCTGTGTTCAACAGCAGCAAGGCAGAAAGGTCTGAAATTGCCGTTGAGACTTTTTCCACTTCTAGTGGAAACTCTTACACAGTTCTTGGACCTGAAGAGGCAGGAAAGACTGACAGCCCAGACGTTTATTTTACAAAATATGAAAAAAAAGAATCACTTCCTATGTACCTGAAATATGTACTTATCAAAGAAATCGTGTTTGTAGAGCTGAAGAAACGGTTAGTAGAAAACAGTTTATGTTTTTCCTTTCCCTTTAGGTAATAGACAAATTTCAGCTGTTTGGAAGACACATTAAACTAAAGATTAAAAAAAAAATCTAATTAATTTGATGTTATTCCTCTTTTTAAATTGATACAAATACAAGAAAAGTTTTATATTGCTTTTCATCTATGGCTCTAAAAGTACCACGCAAGCATTTATCTCTTACAGAAAATTCATATTTTACAGAAAATTATTTAGTGAGAAATCATATTATAGAAAGGCAAGTAATTTGCCCAAATTCCCTGCAGAGCCGTGAAGGTAAAATGCCTGGTACTCAGTAGCGTGCAGCCAGCTCAAAAACTCAACCAGTATTGTGCAAATGGTAATGAAACCGTATCTTCCTATAGTCAAAAGTTAAATTCTTGGAATGAATATATTTAATAAATTGTTATTTATTACTTACTGTTCCTCACTGTAATATTTTTTTTTCTCAATCATAGGATTCGCCTTGGCTTTTTTGAACACTTGGAGAAATGGTTTGCAGAGTCCTTGTCCAACTCCTGTGTCTTTGTAGATGCCAAGAAAGAGGAGCTGAATTCAGAACTTCAGCTGCGTCTTCACCTCCATCAACAAAGGCAGGAGAAAATACAGACAACTGTCTACAATGTTAGAGCTGGTACTGACTTTTTCTTTCTCTGAACATTACATGTCTTCATTTAGAGATGATCATAAGAGGACTAAAATCTGTTTCAGCATCAGTTGACTCAGTAGTAGAGGACAATAGGAAGCAGTTGAGTACTAATTCCTAGTATAACATGTTACTTGTGTATTTTTAAAAAGATGTTTCTTTTCTATAGCTCATACTGGTTTGTGCTATGTTATGTTTGGAAAATACCCAGCAGCGCTTTGATCAATGACTTGCTTATAAAAGATGTAGAACATTCAGTTTCTATTGTCAATATTTGTGAATCCTCATTCTACTTGAAGTTATTTAACAAGAGTTTGCAATGTACAAAAAATAATTTTAAAAGCATTGCAAAAAAAAGAATTAGCAAGTGTTGGGAGAGATGAAGTGCCAGGGCTTGGCTTCTGAATACAGGAGAAGAAGGATTTAACTATATGAAATATCACTGAGCAGCTACAGATTGGCCACTAATCAGAACTCTTTTTTTTTTATATGAGAAGTATCAGGTTTTTCTGGTGGAAAAAAATATTTAAGACAGGTTTGTTGGTATTTAACATTTAGACTAAAAAATTCTCTTTTGGGACAACAGGCAAATAATTTTTCAATTCCACTTTTTCCTGCAAAGAGGACAGGTGCCTTTCTGGCAGTTTTCTTGAGGTTGATTGTCTGGCTCTTGATTTATCTAACTATCATTCTAGAAGGGAGACCAAAATGATCCCCCCCCCCCAAAAAAAAAAAAATAGGGAGAAGTGTATTTTCCATTGGAAAAAAAAAATCCTTTACCTTTACTTTTGTTACAAGACTGAGAACAGAGAGATAATGGAGATGTCAGCAGTGACCAAAAAAAAAGGGGGGCTTAGAGCAAGAAAAAGACATGTGTGATTTGAATTGATTAGGAGCTGCCTGGGATATATGTCAAACACAGGAGAAAAGTCACAAAAACACAATTGGACATATTTTATTTGTATGGTTTAGCCACTCTCAGATCTGGCTTGGTTTATTTTACTACTGCTTCTGATAATAGGTTGGCTGGTGATTGTGTAGTCCACAGTAACCAGGGAATAACGACTGTATTGTAAAATTTCTTTTCCTACCAGTGGAACTGTTGCTTCACAAAGAGCGTCTAGAGTGCCACTGTGCAGGGGTGGAGGAAGCTCTGAAAAAGGAGAGAGCTGAATTTCTCAGATTTTGTGATCAGCAAAGTAACATCAGCAAAAACTTACATTCACGAATCCGTGACATGGAGTCTGTTTTTCTCAGTGCTCCTATGACGGAGAAGTAAGTGTGCCACAGGTGTTGCTGGCTGTGAATTTCCATAGTTAAATACTCCTGATTGCTGTCTGAGATGTTCCTGGTTTGCATTCTATTTTATACATCATTACTCTTCAATGAAACATTACTCTTCAATGCTTCATGAAACTAAAAAAATGCAAAGGATTTTTGTTTCCTTTATCTCTCCCTGAAGAAATCAAAATCAGTGCTGAATGGATGACAATTTTCATATATTTTCAAAGTGCTGGCACAGTCAAAGTAGAAAAGATGTTTCATTTGTTTAGGTTTCATCCAGTTTACTGAGCCTATAATAGCAACTGACTGGTTTTGAAGGATACACTTCAACAGTATCAACGGCTTGTCAACAGTCACAGTTCAGTGAGTTGCTTTCAGAACACTGAAACACTCTTGAGTTCTCAGACTTTGTTCATGTCTTTACAGCCAGCAGTCTCTGAATCCTGCATAATGTGTGCTCCTCTTTCTCTATGTTTTCCCTGTCTTTTATTATTTGCTGTTAGGTTAGTTTCTTTTAGCAACAGTCTGCACTCAGAGCTACATAATCATCTGGAAGTGATCCAGGTTTCCCTGAGGAGTTACCGGAACTATTTGGAGGAAGCTTTAGGAAAATTAAGGGATTCAAATGTGGATTTTCTCAAAGCTTGCAGGTATAGAGATTTATTGGAGTGTTGTTTATAAATAGTTACCTATTTCTGGGCATCAGCATTTGTTGCATAGGCAGAAAAGTAAAACTAAACTTTATTTTGTTATTAATCTAGTTTGCTATTTTTAAAAAATAAATTTGTTAAGCCACAATTATTATACTGTTTTCATCACATTTGTGTTGACACCTATGTTTTCGGGCTGATTAGTTAAAACAGTCTTTGAGAAAAGGAAGACTCATAGCCAATTGCTTTTACTTTGCTGGTTGCTTTCAGATTATTTTTGGAGGGAGGTAACTTTTCTCCTGAGGAGGTAAAATCGTTCAGTAAGTGTCTTCAGGAAGAAAGTAAGCGTATTGACTCTTTTGAAAGTTCAATCAAGACAGATATGGAGAAAATGGAATCGAGCTGCTTGGAGCAGGTGTGCAGAGTTTCATTCTTTCAAATGATGTATTATGTTGGCATATTTGTGATTTATAATCAGTCTGCTCCCAGATTGGGACTGTAAGACTGTTCTGTGTGGCAATTACATGGTGGAAAAAAAATAAATAGAAATATTAAAAACTATTAAAGTTTTTAAAAGTGAAAATTAATTAGGTCTGTCTCTTGTTTCTGGCATTCTTAAAGGCTACTGAACTTATCAACCAGTCTGAAACAAAGTTCCGTTACCTCTTCATGAATCGAGTATTTATGGAGAAGATCCGAAGATTTTTGACACATCTACGAGTGCAAATCAAATCAGAGGTACAAGCAGAGATATCAGATCTTTGTTCGAGTGAATTGTAATAATTTCTCTTTTATTCCATTGATGAGATTTTTGGCTGAATTCAGAGTGGACAAACATTAAGTGACTTTCTATATTCATTCAAAACCTCAAAACTTGATTTCTGTCATTATCAACTTAAAACTATGTTTTATTACTGCTGGAGCTATGCTGGAACACTGTGGTCTTGCAGCACATTGAATGTGTACATCTGAATAGACTAGCATTTTGGTGTGGTGCAGTAAAGGACATGAAGTGTTGCTTTTGTGAATTACTGTTTTCAACGTTTCCTCTGACTACCAGTGATTGAGTATTTTTACCAGCAAGTCTAGTGGTTTCAAAGTGGAGCCTCTGAAAATCCCTTGAATGAGATTTCAATTCACTACTATCTGCTTCTGCTTTAGGTAGCAAATTCCAATTCACAGGCAGTGACATTAAACTCTTATCTGGAGAAGCTCCATCAGAAGATAGGTGCTTGTGCTCATCCTACTGCAGATAAAGAAGTAAGTTCTAATCAGCATGAAATGGTGTTTAATTTGACTTGGTATTAATTTGACTTACTGTGCATATTTGTATAATGTATAAACTAACATTTTTCAGGCAGACTTATGTTTATACACGTTGGGGGGAGGGGGGGGGGAGTGTGGAAAGAGTACTTTAACACAGAATTTTTGCTCAGGGAGATCCTGTACCCATTTTCCTGTTTGCCAAACAAAAGCCTCAGCCTCTACACAATGTCATTGCTTCCCTGTATGCGTAAATGAAATGGTGTCAGAACAGAATCCAGTGATGATGTATGCAACAGCATATTTGAAAAGTGTGAAATAGCTAGTTTAGTAAATACCATCTGTATTATCACATCTTTCAGGCTTTGACTTCTGAAGAGTTGTTTGATTTTGCCAAAGTAGTGTTGAAAGAACTGAAAAAAAGGAGCCAGTATCTTAACTGCCTGCTAGTAAAAGCAACAAACCTGCATGATAATGTAAGATAGCATTTAATTGTCTATATTTTGTTTAATATTGAGTGAATTTTTATGTGTATATGTTTTAAAGGTTTTTCAGAATCTGTGCTTAGAATTTCCAAATGAAAAAATATGCTGCATTATGCCAAGCTGTGCAAGACATTGTAACATTAGGTCAGCTTTAAGAAGCTGAGTAAATCAGTCACTGCTGAGTTTACTAAATGTTAAAGATGTGTAGCGTAGCAATGAGTTGCTCAGTCCTTTGCAAGAATTGATTCTCAAAGTGTAGCACTATTTATAGATACGTATTTCACAGCTTTCTTAAATAATTATTTAAAAAATCAAATGTGTCCTGAAGAAATATTTTATCAGGTGGGGTTTGGGTTTTCTTTTTCCTTCCTTGTCTAGAAAGTCTACTCTTAACTACTTCTAAGGTGTCTCAGAGTTGTATAGCTGTAACAACATTACTACTAGAAAGAATTATAAAACACTTCCTTTCAGCCTGTGAAGCAAAATAGTGTATGTTTGGAAGATCTGCTTTAGCTATCAGTAACTACATGTAATGCTTTCACTAATTGCCTGCTACAGTCAACAGGGTTTCATTTTTCTTCCCATTTCAGGAAGATTTTACCCCTCTTGCAACGGATGTTACGTTACAAGGTCCAATTGCTGTTGCCATTCGAACAGAGCATCTCAGAGATGAGAACAAAGTGATGGTGATGGGACTGGATCCTGTCAAATTTCCTTTGTTGAATCCAAGCAGAATGGGAAAGTCTGCAGTTGATGATTTATCAATTAGTGTTATCAAAAATTTACTTGAGTAAGTATTTGTTTGCTTAAAGGTATTTTTCTGTCATTGTCTTTATTTATATTTTCTTTGCTATTTTTTTATATTTTCTTTGCTTTCCTCTTCTCCTCATGAGGCTCATGATAACACTACAAGGGACTTCGCTACAATATTTTAAAAATTTATATTCCAGAAGCATATCAAGGTTTTTCTGAGTTCATATTTCATAGTTTACCTTCATGTGTACAGAACTATATTGTTCACAGGTGATACTACTACATACTTTCTGATCTGCCTTGCTTTAAAAATCAGTCTAGCTGAGACTGCTTTCTTTTAAAGAGCAAGATTTCTAATAGCCAGAAATACCCTATTGTGAGTAATGAGTGACATCTAGTTTATAGCACTATGATAAATTTTAGATATTAAATTTGTGTCTTCTAGAGCCTTATTTTAGTTAAAAGGTGATTATATGCTACATAGTTGAATGAACATACAAAGTGTGAAATGAACAGTATGACTAGTGTGTGATTAGCAAATAAATATTTTAATGCAGTTTTGCTTGTAGAAATTCCAAAATTCTAGTTAAACAGTTAGTTACTCCCATGAAAGTACTTAAATTTACACTATCAGTTGTAATTGTAATCCTATCTGTTAAATATTTATCTCACAAAATTAACTGCACTTAGCACATGGAAGGGATCGAGAACTTACATAGTTCTTTATAGAATATATAATTTAGCATGTAATATAAAATAGCAGGGTATTCGATAGCTGCTTAGCTCTTTTTTTTGTTCCAGAATTCAGCCATCCAGAAAATCTTCAGGCCTAAATCAGGAGAGAAATGATCATTCACATTCATTAGGACAAGGTGTGCCAGCATTTCTTTTAATATATTATATTCCTCTAAATTGTAGTTCCTAGCATACCACTGAGCAGGTCTAGCATGTTCCAGGGCAGTGGCTTCCATGCTAGCTCTGAGAGAATTGTGCATTCTAGGTTTTTTTTCTTGGATAGCTTTACTTTGCAGTAATAGAATGATTTGGGGCTCCTAACCAATGAAAGCTGCAGAATGAGAGAGTAATTTTATAAAGAGTACCCACATTTGTGATAGCAAAAGGAAAAAGGGGTGGAGAAAAGAACTAGAAGTCATGAAAATATGTAGAGGATCAGGGATTGTCATTGTACAGTGTATTCTCATTCACTCAAAGGTGAGTGCAGAGATAACCCCCACTGCTCTCCACCTAGTGTTCATCTTCCTCGCCTCTCTTCCCCAGAGCTTGACTCCTCCAGCCACTTCCAAAGATATCCTCTCTCTCTTCCACATTCCTAAGTCCCCATCACAGCCAAAACTATGAATGTAGCCCATTCATTCTCTGCCTTATTCCCTGCCTTAATGTTGTTTTAAATCTCCTCCCATCTGCTACATATTTTCTATGACATTCCTATTACTCATGCCCCAATGCACAACCTTTATTGCCGTTGGCACTGTTGGGTTAATTCAGTTCTGTCTGCCAGAAATGATTGTTCCTACAGTTGTAAAGAAACATTCTAGAAATGAGAACACAAACTATATAACCATATAAAACTATATAATCCTATAAAAAAGACTTCAGTTGACATTTATGTGATATTCTTCATCTTTCCTTGTTAAATATAAAGCAATTCTTCCCACATCAAAGAAGAATTATGGCTTAAATGTATCTGATGAAGGTCCTCAGAATTCTGCTACTTACAGCTATGCAGCTCGGATCACCAAGAAGTCATCTTTTAAGAAAAAGGTGCCGAAAGGAAGGTAAGACCACTGAAAGGAGAAATTCCACTTATTCCTCTGCAGATACTTACCTAAACTTTGTCCGCTGCCTGTTCTTTGACAAATTCAAATTCTTGTATTAGCCTTCTTTCCATCTGTGCCTACCGTTTGGGATCCCTTCCCTGTTTCTGTCCTCATGATCAGCCCTGCATTTTTTTCAGATTTTGGCTGAAAAAAGCACTCTTTTTTTCTCCTTCATCTGCTGTTGTTTTGTATTGTGAAGTTGTTGAAATACGGACTAACCCCACTCTTAAATCAGTATGGCTTAATTTTCAGGTCTGGTGTCTAAATAGTATGTCTTCAGCTTAGTCCAAAGATAGATGAAATGAGCTAGGGTAAGAGTGAAAAAAACAAAAAAGTTTTGAAGAGTCTTTGAGGAGAGAATCCTGAGAATTTTTTTCCAACAAAAAATCATTTTCATGTAATACTACTTCTAGAGTTACATTTTTCCCAATTTTTCTTCAGTTTCATCTCCATCATATGACTCACTAGCTCAAATAGTCAGAGAAGGAAAATACTTGTGGATAGTTTCAAATTAATGTTTTGCCTCCCTAGGAAACAGAAACACACCAGATCAGTTGTCAGTGACAAGACATTCCAGATATTTGGAGAGAAGCCTCCTGAATCTAAGTGAGTCGTGTATTTGCAGAAATAGAAGTTAATCTGCAAAAAACCCTATCTACCTACCTATATCACAGTTATTTATATTTGTGAACTATAGTGTTCACCATTAAATTTTGATGTATTTAACCTTGATATTTATGGGTCAAAGTGTTTACAGAACAGTTCCTTTTTTGCAGCATAGTAATAGTGAATGGAAAAGTCATCCATGCTATTGTGTTTAATGTCTGAAATGGAATGGGTGGCCTCACTGCAATCCATTTTGTACATTTACAAAAAATGGGTTGGAAAGTTTAAAATAGCCTGTCTTTCAGTTATTTTCACCTCTAAGATCAATAAATTTTATACATACGTTCTTGTGCTCAATATTACATTTATATGAAAACTATAATAGCAAAACTATTAAAATTAATGCCTAAGATGTTTAAGTGCTTGGGAATTTTGTTCCACAAAATACTTTTTTGTTTCAAAATACTTCTAGTAAACAGCTAGACCCACCTTCAAATATTTTTGGTTTATCTAAAATGCATGGTAAGCTCTTAAGGTAAGTTTTCGGCACAGGAAGTTGGCTAAGATTGCTTTTTTGTTCTAGCAACGTGGAGGTGTTCTCCAGTAAGCTTTTAAAATATCCTGAAGTCCTTCCTGCTTCTGAAGAGAATCTGTTCTAATGGAAGTGGAGGGTCTTTAGACATTCTGAATATTTGTTTGTGTATGCTCTAAAAATGTATTGAAACAAACCTGAACAAAATATTTGAAAATGAGTAAATATTGCCAATGTGATCATTTTGTGATTGTCTTTTTTAATTTTTTTAAATTTTGTTTGTTTTCAGTACTTTTAAGGGGATTATTATGAATATTCTCTGGACAGGTAATAGCAGCTTGCTCTGCCTTGCTGAGGTAAGAAAACCCAGTGTTCTTGAGTCACTTTTGCTTTCATAGGTCTACTCCTGTGTCAGCTATGTAAATTTGGTTATTTACAATGTTTGGATGGCCATCCAAAATTTTTCCTTTCTTCACCAGTGCATCTAATTTTTAAATAGTATTTGACACAGTGTATTTTTTAATCACAGGTTTCTTTATAAATATTAATTAAGCATTTCAGAATTGGAGGAATAAAACCAGTCTCAAGAGGGTGGTTATTAGCTTTATGTATCCCTACTACTGTTATATGCCAAGATGTGACTTGTTTGAATGTGTTATCAACAACTTTTCAGTTTTATCTTTACCTCCTGAAGGAGTTCTACCAAAAAGAGAAGCCTCAATTTGCAAAGCTGGAAGATGTGCCAGAGACTTTTGAACATTGCGCAGAAGTACTCAAGCAGAATCTATTGTCATACCAAAGTCAGACAGATGAATACTACAATTCCTGTCTTACAGGTAAATTCATTCAGTTAAGACTTTTAATTTATTGTGTATGTAATTTTTCAGTTATGTAAACTGAAAATTGCAGTGATCAAGAATTATGTGGCTTTCTTAATCCATCACACTCAGTGGAAAAACTCCAGTTGATTTTACTGGAAATTGGGCCAACATCCTCTTTTTTTATATTATCAGCTACAAAAAGCATGGCAGAAGGGCCCCTGACTAAATTGAAAGACCTATACAAGGGCACGTCTTTCAGCAAGTGTATGTTTCTCAAAGCTTTGGGCCTAGAAAAAGGAATGGAAGGGACAGAATCTCTATGAGAGAAAATTCCGGGTTCTTTGACCCTTGCATGTGCCTTCAACTTGGCTGAGGCTTGATTGTTTTTTTTCCTTGTGATGAATACTTCTGTGTCACCTAAACATTCTACCTTTTCCCAAAAGAATTTCAGGATCAGTTGAAGTTGTTTGAGAAGGAGCTCCCTTATATCTCCCAGGTGGCAGTTGATAGTCTTTTAAAAGAACACGAGCAGAAACTCAGCTGTTCCATTGGCCAGATTCGGCACCTCTTCAATAAACAGTTGGAAGACTGGGAGAATATGAAGGTATGTATCATGGACATGTTGGAATTGCTGCCAGTGTAAGCAATGCTAAATACCTCAGAATTACAAAATTTTCTTTTTATTAATCTCACTGTTTGCTTAATCATTCACTGCTGAGCTAGCCACAGATTTAGTTGCTGTGTTTGCAGCTAGTCTGTGTAGTTCTACTGGAAGCTTTGTATTTCTAGGAACTCAGTCCCTTCTCTCGCTGCTTCCAGCATTGGGCTGCCTCTTCATAATCTTGTACAGCTCTGCCTGTCATCTCACAGTTAGATTGAAACTCTTTAAGGGCTGTGACATTGCGGTATGGCTATACAGCTCATACCGTATGGGTGCACTCGTTTGTAGGTACTATGACATATGGGTAATAAAATATCATTATTTACTATCTTTCAAAAAAGAGGTATATTTTGTCTAGTAACTGGTAACAAAATCATCATGGAGATTATGCAGAAAATGTTACAGAGCAGTATCTTGAAATGTTGTCCCTCTGAGTATTCAGTTAAATTCAGGAAAAAAATAGTAACATAAAGATGTAAAAAATATCTTGTTTACCACTTGGTAGGTGAGATTATTATTTGTTGAAAACAAAACCCAAGGTGAGATCAGAGGCCTTGTTCTCCAGCAGATAGGCAATTTGGTATATACTGCACTGCAAGGTTTATCTCTAGACAGCCAAGGAATACACTGAATTTTCTTTGTCCTTCTGAATACTTTTATATAAAATGCGTGGGGTTTACTTCTTCCTTATTGTGACTCAATTGCACATTCTTTACTGAAGGCATTTCTTACATATTTACTTAAAGGCTGTGCACAAGAATCAATTACATCCCTCTCTGGGACACCCAGACAACTTACTTCAGCTGGACGCTTTGTGCCAAGAGGAAATGAAAAGGCAGAAAGACCAAGCTGACGGTATTCATCTCAACACACAGATGCTGCAGGTAACTGAAAAGCCATTTCTTAATGTGAACTTAGATGTTGCATTTGGAAAGAGTACATCCTGCATACATTTTTCCTCCCCATCAAAAGTAAACTGGAAAATGTTTTAGTTTTAGGCATTCATTTTAACTTTTCAGTTATGTATTATCAGCATTAGATCAATATATACATAAATGCATATGCATGTGCAGACATGCATAGATTTACTGTGGAAGTAACTGGTCTTTTGTATCGTTCATAGAACATACTGAGGAAGAGATGATTTATATCTTAACGGTAGAATTATTGGACATAAGTCTAAATTGGGAGCAACAGTGACACCCTCCGGTTAGTTAATTACTTGCAGACAACAGATGACTGAAAGGGTTTCTTCTGTGTGCATTTCATTAGTGCAAATAATTGACATTTTTCTACATAAGATTAAGAACTGGAATAAGCAGAATTTTACAGGAGAGATTCAGGAATCAAAACACTTTTCCTGCTCCGTCCTCTAGGGTTATTGAAGGTCAGTTCCCCAGCATTAAAGCTCTTTGTTTACTTCTCTCAGGCTACTTACTCAAAATTCTACACTGTCTGCAGAATGAATATATATATTTTTAATTCCAAAGTAATATCTCCTTCTCCTCTCAGCTCTGCAGACACACAGAGAAACACTCATACTCTCTTTTAGAATAATACCTGGCCAAAGCACTTCCACCCAAAGTACCCAAATTCCAAAATGGCCTTTCCTTTGGGCAAAAGGATGCATTCACAGGTAGCTGGCTTTATCACGTTTAGATGCTTAACCCAAATATTCAACTAGTAGGGAACTACACACAGAACTCTCTAGTTTTTCCTACTTTACCTTAGGGAATCTGGTAGCATTGAGAATACCGCAGAGAGGCACTTTTAGACCCTTTTATGTGCAACTTATGAGCCTTATGTCTGTTACTTGCAGCTGTTTCAAAATGTCACGGTTGAATACTTGTGTAGTTCTTTTGGAGCTAAACTAAAAGGAGAGGAGATCAAATTATCAGAGGAATTCCTCTCACTTGTCTCCAATGTCCCAACAGGACTGTGCTGCTGAGTGTGCTCAGAACTTTGTTTCTGCACTAGCTGCCTTCACTGAAAAGCTGCTTCTGGAATTCGATGAAAGTATCACCATTGATGATATACAAATAGCAAGTAAGTAAAGAAGAGATTGCTTGCTCAGGTCTCTGCTTCGTTCTCAAAGATTGCAGGAGACTTTCCCTAGGAAGAGGAGACTTTATATGCCATAGTACTTTAAATGGAAAGATTTGCATGATCAAGCAAGCAAAGCCATTTCTTGAAAGTGAAGAGCATCTAGCTGCGTCTAGTTACTTCAAAACAATGGTATTACTGCCATTGTTTTGTTGCTGCTGACTCTATCTTCTATTATCTCCCAGAAACTGAAAGACCAAGAGAGAAGACTTCCACATTAATCCATCATGAACAAGCTGGACTTCCTCTGGAAATCTGTGACCTTAAACAGTTAATTGACCATGGGAGCAGGTAATATTTGAAGATACTGAACACTGTCCTATGTAATTTCTGTTCTCTGAACTGGTATCAGACACTGTCCTCACAGGTTTTTTTGCTGCCTTGTTGAAACCACTGAATACTATGTTCATCATTAGTGACGTCCTTTAAATAGTTATGGGGCAGTTTGGGTGAGTAATGATCTTAAAGAAAGAATAGCAATGGATCCAAATAAATCAAAGTGAATTACCTGTTGTCTTGTAAAGAAATACAATTTCAGTATTATTGCTGTGCTGCTTTGCTAGCCACTATTTATCAATTCAGCACTTTCAAATCTATGAATGTACTGTATATTTTCACTCAGAAGATATGAATTCTATTTACTGTGCAGAGATCCCGGAGTTTTAAAAGAAAAGGTGGCTGTACTAAATAAGGTAGTTTTTAGGGTAATCCTTTTGTGGAGATTAAAAAAAACAACATTTAATCTTTTGCACTTTAAGTACAAGTAACATGAATTAGTATAATCTGCTATTTTTTCTAAATCTGCTCTCTTTCACTCCTTGCTTGGTTGGTTGGTTTGGTTTTTCAAAGGACTTGGCCAGGAATACCCGTGACTACTCTTACAGACGGTTCAGACCATATTCTTTGCAGAGAAACTGCATCAGTTACAACAGCTAAGACTACACTGGGCCATGTAGCAGCAGTAAAAGCAAGAGATGCTGTATATAAGGTTGGTCTGTGTGAAAGGACTGAGTGGGGCTGTTGTGGATTTGTTTTTTTAAGAAAATTATAGCTATGTGTAAGTTTAATATACACAGCGTTTTCAGATATTAAAGCCGTATTAACCATGTGTAGAAATCTTCTCGTGTCCGTTCCTTTGTGATGTTGTCAAAAGCAGACAGAGTTGGTTTGGGGAATTGTTTGAGCAGAAAAGCATGGATGGTGTCAGAAACAGGACACTTCATGCATTTCAGCAGCATTGCAATTTAAAAAGTAGCTACTGCCACAGTGCCATTTCATTACAGCTTGCCTGCACTCACCTTTCTTTCTAAAGCCTACAGCTCTAGCCCTAGATCCCAAAGGCTCCTTCTTCCATAAAAAATGAAGGGCTGTAAGATACTTCACAGCTATCCTACATCCTGAACCATCATTGGTTCCCCCATAAAAATACCCACTCTTTCTTCACTAAGCCTGCTAGAAGAATGAACTCATTCCAGACAACTCTGAGACTCTGACTTGCAGTGACGATAGCTTGTGAAACAGTAGTCTTCAGCAATTAGGAGAATATTCTTGCGTTAAATAATTTGGAAATAAATGGTCAGTATTTATGCATCTGTCCTGGAAGTAATTGTACTCCCAGTGAACTGAATTAACTTTAACAAAAAGAAAAATTTAATAGGAAAATGGAAAATACACTGTCAACAATGACAAATGCCATCACAACTATAAATTTGCACGAGAGTTAGGTATCTCATTATGGTACCTAAACATCTGGTTACAGTACAGTTTTAAAGCACAGGTAGTAGTGTCAGCAGGGTGTGATATAGCAAATGCATGCCACAGAAATATTTTCCTGAATGTAAGTTGCATTAAAAATACAGTATTTTATATTTTGGAGCATGGACTCTTTAATAAAAGTTCTCATGGTAGTCTACAAGTTTCTGTTTAGGTGAAATACTTTTTTAACAGCTTCGTAATAGTTCAGTTCATAGTTGGGACTTAGGAAGTTCTCACAAGAGCCAGAGCGCTTTCTGTGTTTGAGATGCATGCTTTCCTCTCCCTTCTCTAGAGAAGGCAGCCCTTTATTCTGAGGGGTAATGGAAATGAGATGAAGATCTTGCATTTTTAGCAAAATTTAAATATTGCTGATGATTTAGTTTCAGAAGCCTTTAAAAGGAAGGCAGCGAATAATTCATTGTTCGTATAGTTCTGTTGTCAAAGGCAGAAAATAAGTGGCCTGTATGTGATCTTCTGACAGTGGACCAGGACCTGGATTTAGGCAAAATAAAATTACATTTCCTCACTACCAATTTTGTCCTTTATTCTTGTTGTTTGTGGTGTTTATACAGAAATACAAATGTAAACTTGAGCAGCAGTTTGCCCAGATCAAGGAAGAAAGTAGAGCTCAGCTGCTGGCAATTCACCGTTGGGAAGATTGGTGGAAACGATCCATCCAGAAGATTAAGCAATTCTATGCATGAGATCAGTCAAATCTTGCCGATGTCCTTCTGATCATTGTTGGTGTAAACTGAGAAGGTTATACTAATGTCAGTGATGTTATAGATTTAGTCCAACAGAATTTCCTTTTTTTTTTTTCTGTTGCACTGAACAAGCGCAGTGGTGAAAGGAGCTAATTTTTGCCTCTTGAAATAAAAATGTGGCGAATGTGCTGTAAATGAAATGTAGACTCTGTGTAGTGCTTTCTAGTTGGATCTCAGCCAGAGTAAATTTAACTCGTTATGGTGCTAGCTGTAATATGAGAAGCTGAAAAGCAAGAAGCCCAAGCACTGGATTTGTCCTGAAGTTCACGTTCAAGACTTGGGCATGATTGCATATGTCTGTGTCGTGGTGCAGCCTGAAGTTCTAATAGTTAAAGGCAGCCTGTTTACTAATGGAGTCCAGCAAGGAAACTTTTTCTTTGGCACAGACGAAGCCCTTCCCATGGATGTCCTCTTTCTTCACATTGTGACTGACACTGTACTCACAGCTCGCTACTTCAGTTTTAGAAATCTGAAATAGTTGATCTGCAAAGAATATTTTCCACGGAGTGGCCTACGAGTGAGGTATTTATCTCTAATCCAGACTGCTTTCTGAGCCAGGGCTTGAAGATAGAGTACTGCTTTGTTCTGGGAGGTCAAGCAAGTTAATTTAAGAGTAACATAGCTACTTTCAACCATATTGCTTTTAAAAAATGCTCTGAACAAATTCGAGCAACCTGAGTAACTATTAAAAATGGTTTAGCTGTTTTTCTGTTTGTTAGGAGATTCTGTCACTAACTGCAACCACATCTATTTCAATTTTGTTTGCGTTCATCATGAACCCCAGAGCTGTAAATCAGTTGAAGACAAATACAGTAAATGTCATTGGGAAGGTTTTAGACACCAGGAGATGTCCCGAACTCGTCTAGCTCCAGTGTTCTTGCAGCTTTGTAATGGAGAAACTGAAGCAAAGGGAGAACGCATCAGCTGTGCTCCTAATGATGCAATATTTCAAAATATGTGTATTACTTTTCCTGAGGGATTAGATCTTTACTTTGTAAAGACGCATGGAATACACTATGCCTATTAGAATAGCTGAAACTGCACTAAAATATGCAGAACACCCATCTCTTTTTTATTCTGTGTTAATTTTTACTATTCAGTTATCCTCAAACTTTTATTCTCCTTTCTTCTTTCTGTTCATTGTCCTCTGTCCTTCCCCATCACCCAAGCTCTTTGTTTTCGCTCTCTGTACACCACGGTGATAAGTGCATGAGACTGGTCGGGTGCAGGAAATGGGAATCCCTGGGAGACGATCTGCAAAGTGGTACTGTCTTATGTCTTCATAAGACCTAAACTGCAGCAAGCGAGATCCTGGTTGGACACGGGGCAGCCTCCTGGCGAGCAGGGCAGTGATGCGCTGGCAGAGATTGCCTGCCAGCCCCGCGTCTAGCCAGCTCTCGAACAAGGGCTGCGCAGCAGCTGTCTGACCCCCCTCTGCACACTTGTGCCGGAGGCACCAAGCACAAGGTCAGGTATGTGGCACTGAAAAATCCTGGTGCTGGTGTAGCTGTTCTCATTACAGAATTAGCCCAGGAATTAGAAGAAAATGGCCAAAGCACAGAATAACAGCTGGAGGGGAAAGGCAGATTGCAAATCCTTCTACAGTTGTGGATCTGCAGCACTTTTAGGCAAGAATCCAGAATTGCTGAGCGTGAATCCATGAGGGCTTTAAATGGTGGAAGGCCTTGAGATACATATTTTTTAATTATTTTTTTTTTAAGTGGGATTTTGTGATGCTTCTTGGTGAAAGCTGATTAGATTGGTTGACAGAAGAGTAAGGAAGATGCACCAGAGCAGATTTCTTTAATTTGCTTTCTTATGTCATACAGAACTTTTTGCTACCTGTCTTTTTATAACCAAAGAAATTCAAGTGGGAAAATCACCACTGACTTTCCAGATCCATTGGCACTGCTGTATGCCTTACAAGGGCCAGGATGGAAAAGATCTCTGTGATGTTTACTTCAGCCTCCCCCAAAGAAGCAAGCTGACGTCACTGCAACTGTCTATAAATGGGAGTTTGACAAACAGCCTTTTTTTTTTTTTTTTTTTCCCCCAGGCTCCAGTTACATGCTAGAAAGTGCTTTCCTCTGACTGGAGGCTGCGTTACGGTCCCTGCAGCAGCCGCCTGGAAAGTGTGCTTTGCAAAAGAGCACGTTATGTAGGCACAGAAGGATGCCGAGGAGGAGGAAGTGCGCGTCTGCAAACAAGGGACTTCTCTGCAGTACCACAGTTCTGTATTCACTAAAGGTAATAACGAATGTAGCCTGTAACAATTAACGTGCTTGTAACGAGCCCTTTGGAGGCCACATGCAAAGGCTTTGTGTGTTTGTCACAGGTCCCATGGTTCACACTGTGGGAACCTTCACTTCCCTGTGAAGGGAAAAGGGATTCATTGGAGCTTTTAAGGTAAGACAGCCGAGCTAGGGGAAGCTGAATTTTACGGCTGTTAAACAGGAGTAATTTCTTTGACTTGTAGAGAAATATCGTTACCCAATATGCATCATCATTGTCGTGTAATGTTTCTTTGCTCGTATCAGACCTCGGTTTACCTTTCTCCTATGTGCATCTTTGGAAGGAGCTGTCTCTGGCAGTTATTCTGTGAAAGACGCAGTTTATCAGCTAAACTGATAATCTCATTAGATCTGCGTATACCCTGATATGACTGGTTTTGGTGAGTTTATTAAATTGCAGAGGGGGTGTGCTTTAGATGAATAAATGGAATCCACAGAAACTAGATTAAAATCGGAAAGGCTTCCCACGCACTTCTAGCTGTGAT